CACTACCTCCTAGAGCACGAGACGAAGGTCAAGGCGAAGAGCAGGAAGAACAAGGGCATAGCAACGGCCAGGGCCCTCTGGGGATATAACCGATACGAGGTAACCCGAGCGGTCTGGAAGATGGTGGCGGTGCCGGGGCTCACTTTTGGCAACTCAGTGTTGTGCCTGTCATCAGGTACCAGGCAATACCTCGAGGTCCGTCAGAGGGAGGTGGGAAGGTCGGCACTGGGAGCAAGCCGAACAGCACCGAACGAAGCCGTCCAAGGAGACATGGGCTGGTCCGGTTTTGAGGCCAGGGAGGCCCGAGCCAAGCTGGACTTCGAGCGACGCCTCAGCCGGATGAGCGAAGAGCGCTGGGCCAGACAGGTTTTCAAGTATGTACATCTTCGGTCCGTCCCAACCCGGTGGGTGCGACGGACGCACCAGCTGGCACAGGGATACGAGGTCAGCGGCCCACTCCTCTACCCAGCCGCGGAGCAGCCGGAACTGCAGCAGAGCATCCGCACGAGGGTGATCGAGAGCGAGACGCGGCGATGGGCGGAAGCGGCACGTCTGAAACCAGCGCTGGCCCTGTATGCCAGAGAGAAACAGGAGGTGAAGCGAATACCTTTCATGGACAACAGCAAGGGCAGTGCACTGCTTTCGGACGCCCGAGGCGGCATGCTGCGGACCCGCGTGTTCCGCGCGAAGTACATGGACATGGAAGTGAAGTGCGTCATGTGCGCGCAGGGAGCAGACGAGACGGCGGAACACGTCATACTGGAATGCACGGGTATAAAGCCGGACGTGACGTACGAACCAGACATGGCGGTGGCGCTGGGTTTTCGGGGCGTTGACGAACAGTACGACGCCGATAGCTCGCAGCCAGTGGAGGTGACAAAGAGGAGACTGGAGTGTTGGTGGAGGAGAGCAAAAGAACACAACTACGTTTTTGGCTAGTGTAGCTACTAGCCAGGCTAGATCCAGCGCTGCTGAGATCCCCCGATACAAAGGGGTTAGCCCCAAATCCAATCCAATCCAAAGTTCATACTCAAGGAAGTTACTTGTTTGTACTGCCAATTCTTTCGCCGTGTTTTTCTGCTGCGTTTTCAGCTGTCCCAATGGACGACTTCCGCTTGCTATGTTATGTTTTAGTGGCCGTGGTTTGCAAGTGCTCTTACCTATTACACACCACTGCTCGCTCAAGCATGCAGTGGTGCCTAAGGTGGCATTCACTGGTGGCTATAGTTGAGTTTGTTTCTCCCCAGCACATGCTTACGATTAGCTTCCACAAGGCCTCTGCAACGTGGAGAACCAATATTGTACTTCTTCTCAGAAGATAAGTGAAGGCTCATTATGAGCCTGCACTGAGCCTGCGTTCATCGTGGCAAACTCGCTTTGCGGACGGCAAGTTTATGAATGTTTATTAATATTTGCTACAGATGTTGGATGCCTACAAAGCAAAGCAGTAAAATGGCCGTAGCTCTTACCTGACTGATCAAAACTGCTCTTGCTAATAGTCCAGTCATACATTTTGTGGTACCACGGTACAGACGCTGTGTCACAATGGCTGGATGGATGCTAACGGCTGTACCCTTTATAACGGGCAGTAGCTTATGCCACCTAGCCTAGAATTTAAAAACCAAAAGTATAATTCCTCCCTTTGCCCTTCTAAGCTGATTTGCTTCCCCTCTGCAATTTTGTAACAATCACCAGGAAGAGTGGGATATCACCAAAATAACCTTTAAAAAATTGGGCAAACAAAAAAAAAAAAAATTTATCCCTGCCTCTTCTTTCTGACGAGAGAGTCGCCAATTTTCCTCTGGTCAGACCTAGTTGGCGTTAACTCAGCACCGGGCCCACTGGGAGACAGGCTGAAGACTTTGGGCCGGAGCAGTGCGGGAGGGAGTCCCAATTTTCCCCTGTCCCGCCTGTCCCCAGCTGTGATCGTTAGTCGTATGTCATTCAGTTTTCCCTACATCATTTCCACCAGTCTTCCTATCTCCTTTTCGTTATTAAAGCATACTTAACACCCATTATTCCATTCTCATTTGCAAACCCGGGCGCTCCGGCTAAATCTGTCGCCCCCTCCGGCGGGAGCCAGCCCTGTGCGCCTCAACACCACATGCTCTATTGTCTCGTCTTCCCCTTGGTACACGGCACACCACATATCCATTTCCTCATTCTTTGTCCTAAATGTCCTAGTCCTCAATACTCCTGCCTTACCCTCAATTAACAATGAGCTTCCCCATGAATTGTCATACCAATATTCTTTCCCTATTTCCTGTTCTTGTCTCCTATACATACCGTAAAATACCGGGCAAGCACCCACTCAAACTTTGGAAATGATCGCAAAAAAGTTGGGGATGGGCGCTTGTCCGGTCATCAATTTTACATATAAATGTACTGTGCGTATCTTCTCAATCTCACAAATTTGGTAATGGCTGCTTAATGTGGAATGGGCAGATGCACGGTATTCTACGGTAGTTAAAGCTGATATTTCCTGCATTCTTTGCTTCCACATTTTTCTCTCAGTTTGTTTTCCTTTCTTTTCCACAGAGGTCGTCTGCTCTGCTCCAGCACTTGATTGTTTGTATTTGAATTTCAGTTTTCGGGTTTGGTTTGCCCATTTAGTATTCAGACTTTTTTTTATATGGAGATGCTTATACAGTCCAATCCCATTATAACAATAACAAAAACCCGAAACTTGAATCGTTATAAGGGATTATTGTTTTATCTCGACTGGAAACTAATTGTTTCAAGTCTAAAAAATCTAGAAACTGATCGTTATGAGCAGTAGATCGTTACATATGGTATCGGTATAGGTGGATTGCACTGTATACTTTTCTCGCCCATCGTGTATCCTCCATTGTGTCTAGCCTTTGTTCAAATTTCAACTCGCTGATTGCCTCTCTATCATCGAAGGATGCCCAGTCCATGTCTCGCTGCACTTCTTCATTTGGTGTATTCTTATCTGCCTCAAAGCCACTCTGCGCACACTCCTCTGTCGGCTCTCTAAGCTCAACGATCGACCGTACAGCTAATCACCATTCTCGAGCCAGTAATTTCGGTTTCACCATAAAACCCCAAAGCAAAACTTTGAGTTCAGATATCCACAAAGCTTAAAAAAAAAAAAAAAGTCACTTTGTAATTTAGGGTTACTTTTTTGGCTAAAACAGTCATAACCCTAAAATCGAGAATATGTACCACAGTTACCTTTTAAAAAAAGCTAGTGCGTGATTCACTAAGGCATGTTTACCCAAGCCTTGGGGGGCCATTCCCTCCTCTCTCACGCTCCGTAAGCCAGCCGAGATGCAAAATGTTTTGCATCGCCCAATCCCAGATTGTGTTTCTATAAAAACGAGTTCGCTAAAAGGAGGGTCGTTGCCGTTTTTTCTAAACAGGATTTCTCTATGAAGGGATTCTATAAACGGAGGCCTCTTACCCAGTGTTCACCAAAAATGAGCTTCGATAAAATGGATGCCTCCGGAATCGAGTACTACCTTTGTGTTTAGAAAAACAGTTGTCGCCAGCCTCGTTTGCACATTCTCGTATGTACAATAGGCTCGCGATAATTCAAACTCCGATAGTTTGTACTTCTGGTTAGTTCAAACAAATTTCAAAATTTAGGTTGTCCCGCAATGTTTTCAATGTATTCATAAGCCGCTTAATTCGTACGGTGTTTTCGTGTAATTCATACTTTTTGTTCTCGCGGCCCCATTGGGTGTGCTTCTTTCTGAGCACCGGTGCACTGCAGAGAAGCAAAACCCCCGGAGCTTGCTTTCGTGGTTGTTGCTTCTCTGCAGTGCACCGGTGCTCGGTGAGAAGCGCACTCAGTGGGGCTTAAGCCGGGGACACATGAGCTTATGAAAACGGGTACCACGCGAAAATTTCCACAGCAACGTGCGCGGGCACTGTGACGTGGTGGCGTGGCATAGGTCCATGTCACAGTGTTCGTGCAAGTTGCTATGGAACCTGCTGCCCGGTGCCCATTTTCATTGCTCATGTGTCCCGTGCTTAAGCCCACATTAGACAACTTCTTGGCCCGAGGAACAAACTTAATTTGATTTTGAGTGGTGATGATCTGTCTAAACAGTCCACGATAAATAATACTTTTGATAGATAATTAAATTTGGGTCATACATTTCACAAATGTTTCATGTGTGGCGTGCCTGCTTATGATTGGGATGTAGAGGAAATCATCAAATATCAGCTTTTGTATATGCAGCCATTCTTATGGCAAAGCATAATGTGAATGCACAATAAAATGTAACAGCAGAGTTTTTGCTGCTCTAGACCAAACCATGGACAGATTACAAGCATTGGCTATTGTCATGGCAGACTTGCTGTGGTTTGCTTACAGTAAATGATGTAAAATGTTACAACAGTCAGGCAGTTGTGGTCAATGTGAGTGCAGAGGGTACCTAGTCATTATTATTTGCTCTAAAGATCAGGTGAGCACATTTTGCAATGTATATTTGATCAAATGAGCATGGCCATTGTTCACACCTTGCTTTTCACAGTAATTGTGCAAACTGCTTGTAGACACAGTCACCATAATCTCAGCTCAAAGCGTGGCATGCACAACTAAACCCATCTGTCATAAAAATGTAAGTCCCAATCGATACATCTATAAACAAGGTTAAGGTTCCAGGGAAAAATTATCTGGGTAGATGAGTCACTTGCACGGCATGCTTAGTTTCTTACGTCAAACTTTCCTGCGACTGACGTATAGCATCTGTGCCTTGCTGAACACCACAAGCACAGCAAGACATCTACCTATATTCTGTTGCATGTTAAGGCTAGCAGGACCATCTCCACCCGCAAGGCCCTCCACTCTTCACTTTAGCCGAGCGAGTGCTGGAGTGGAGGAAACCACCAATCATAACGAGTGGAGAGCTTGATGAGACGGGCTTTTCCTGTTATTCTTAACCCTGCAACAGACAAGAGAGCTTTGTAAGCTTTACCCTTTGACCGGCATACTTTGAACTCAAGTGACGCGTCGGCCATTCCTGCCGCAGTTTCCTGGCGGACCCGGCCTACAAGGATGCGATGGAAAGCTCGTCGTCTGCCAACACGCGCCTGGTGGTGGAGCGTCGTCTGCGGCTGCCGTTCCTGGATGCCCAGACAGGAGTGGCCCAGAGCGACTGCGCCCTCTGGATGCCGCGCTGGCAGCGCATGCCCGGTCATGGCGACGGGCAGCTGTATTCGTACCCGGCGAGGCGGTGGCGCAAGAAGCGGCGCCAGTACCTCATGAACGACCGCTACCTCGGAGCGGCCACACGTCTCAGGGAGCCGGACTACTCCGACGCAGGTGCTCGCTGCTTCTCCTTCTCTCGCATTAAGAGTCGTTTCCTTGGATTTCGTCAATAAAGATTTAGCGACTAGCGACTGTTTTTCGTTTTACAACAAGCGTGAATCGTCGTGTTTTCTGGGTTTGACTGCCATAGGCAAAAGGCTGATCAAATTGCCATGCCGTGTTTGTTTCGGAGACTTCTTTAGCGCACCTGAAGTTTTGTGCTGCTCGGTATTAAGAAGGGAGACAGAGAAAAAAATCAACTCTCTACGTTTGACAAGTCTCGCCCTAGCAGGGGCGAGGAAAGCAACAGACAGATCCGCAATGCTTGTAGCTTTGACACTAGTCAGAGGTGTTTGAAAAAGGAATGACAATATACTAAAAGTTTAGGTGTTAGGCTTTGGCAACTAACTTTAACATACTTTTTTTCCCTGGCCACACTCAAAGATTTTATGTTCAATCCACTCGAAAAATGGTCCTCATGCCGAAGTGACCAGCACTATACTGGGTGGGTTTGAGGAAGCAATACTTTAAAAGCACATAAGCAGTGCTGAGGTAAAAAGATATTTTGTTATCATTTTTTAGACTCAAACTAATACAACTTCTTTTTTCCTGGTACTCTGCCAAAGACCTCTCTCCTGAGAGCGCCGCCACTGTGGCTGGATTCGTTACTCACATTCCTTTATTCCGTCGGTGCATTCTACAAGATTGTTGTCCGTTTCAAGTGTCGCCGAGATGGCAGCCAGCACGCAGACTGTCACGCGGAGTTTGTTCCTTGCTGCAGACATGCACCAGATCAGCGTGGTGGAGAACACGGCGGCTCGCACCCCTGGTCTGGAGGGAGAGGAGGGGAGTCTGGGCCCCACGCCCCTGCCCACCGCAGCGGCCGACAAGACGCTCTCCCTGGCTGAGGACTCCAACCAGGTGACCGGAGCTCCGACACTTTGTCCTTTTCACTCGTTTTCCTCGCACGGTCAGCAAAACAAAGGCGACACAAGCACCGACTGTTTGGGAGAGAAGAAACATAATTTTCTCACCGCAAAAAATAAAATATGCGTCGCCGAACGTTTAGTCTCTGCTCAAGTAGCTCTGGCAGTTCGACCCAAATGCCATAGTTTTCCGTACTTACCATGATCTGATTAAAAAGTTATAAGGGATTTTTTTAAATTTTCAACGCGAAAATGGTGATTGATGAAGCACATGAACACTTGTAAAAGATTGGCGTTTGCTACCGAAAATGGGCCCCATTTTTTTATTCGAAAAATTGCTTATAACTTGTGAATCAGATGACTATAAGCACTGAAACTGGCATCGGCCAAGCATATGGCAATGGGGAGTTTATTTTTGCAGCAAGAGAAACACGGTTCTCATAAATCCCAAACGCTCGGAATAATCCGCTCCGTTCCTGCACATAGCCCCTCGATAACGGAGACATTACGATTCATTGAAGCCACTTTCCTTCCGTGTCTGCAGTCGTGGTACCGTGATCTCGAAGACACAGTGACAGACCCCGCACTGCTGGACGCCACGGTCCAGGACTTCCCAGACGATCCGGAGACGGACACAGAGGACTATGACGAGACCTACACCCGCAAGAAGAAGAAGAAGGGAAAGGTGGGCCCCGTAGGCTTTCAACTTTGACGTCCGTTGCGGCTGTCCTCTAAATGCGCTTTAGCAGACGGCGTGGTTGGGTGTGACCACGTGAGGGAAGGGCCGAAGAGTTGGATGCTGACAGGCGCCATGTTGCCTTTGTCACGCGGTAGGGTTAACGCCAGAGAACACGCCGGGAAGTCGCCGGGAAGAGCGACAAAGCGTTTTGTTTTCCGACGTGACTGCAGGCGGCTAATTTGTGCTACGCACGCATCCCGTTTCGTGATGGTGACTTGTGCCATGTGTTTCTCTGTCTCTTTGCTCTTGGAGCAGAGCTCTAGAGGTTTGGTGTTTGTGACTGTGTGTTCCCAGTCATACTAGTTTCCTTTGTGACAGAAGGTCGGGCCCTGATGTTTGCCTCTATTGTAGGGCACCGGCCAGAAGAAGAGGACGCGCATCGAGTACACGGACGCCGAGAAGCCCTACAGCTGCGAAAGTGAGTGCACCTGTTTTCTGGACTTGCCAGTGTTCAGAATTCAGACCCGAAAGAGCCACTTCATGGAGCATTGTTACATAGATACTAACTGCTAGGTTGCTGTCCATACCTTACTAGAAGTCGGTAGGGACAAAGTGATACAGTGCAATCTCGTTGATTTGAACCCGAGGGGGGCCTAAACTTTGTTTGAATTACCAGGAATTTCCTTCCTAAAAACACATAGGACAGGACCTGCATTATAGTTTGAATTAACGAGATTCCTCTGTACTTGGGGCTGCTGGTTACCCGTTTTTTATCTCCGGTGACATTGGAGCTTTGCAATCGATCCTGGTTGTTCACATTGACACGTAGATGTCCATTATACAAGCTATTGTTGGTCACTACTTAATGCCGACCTGTATTGCTTGTAAAGGGGACATGGGCCTTTTGGCTTTTAAGGCACGTTGACACTAGTTTCAGTGCAAGTGGCAATGCACGCTGCGTAAGGTGATGACGGTTTGATTGGTGTTTATTTTTTGGCACCCGTTCCAAGTCTTCTTTAAGGCAAGACACTGGTTCTAAAGTCGACTTTTTTGTTTATTAATGAATTATAATGATGGCTTCCTCTTTTTAAATATATAATTAGTTCTGCAATATCTCAATTACTTTTTGAGTTACGAAGAAAATAATTAAGCCTAATTAGGTCATTTCTTACGACTCATTAAGGAACTTTCTAATACGAATTTTTTTGCATAAGTGATATGGATTTGTAGCTAAAGACCTGTCATGCAAGATGATGCTATTTATATTTTTGTAAAGATAGATCATTGTATAGAACTAGTCTAATTAGGTCAAGTACACTATTTAGAAAGCCTAACGAGGTCACATTATCACTAGTAATAAAATTTCGGGCCCGTACTGTCATACAAAAATAGCATCACCCTGCAGTTCACTTCTTTCTGAATTCAACGGTATAAAGTTTATAGAAATTCTTGAAGAATAATCTCATGAAAACAACCGTAAGGCTAGGCATGTAGACGAAAAATGCGAAGCTGAGAAAATTGCAGTTGAAGTTTTGACACTCATTGCATAAAATTGAGTAAGGGATCCCATGCAATAATGTTCAGCAATATGAAGCATAGTTCTATCTGAACAAATTGAGATGAAAAATTCTGCAATCCGTTCACAAGAACCTTTAAAAAATAATATAAAACTGAGAAATAATGTCTGCAATGTAAAATAAAGTTATAAAAGAATGAGTAGACTCTATAAGGGACAACGGGAGGAGGCACCAAGGGTTGCACGTTCCGAAAGCAGATTTTGTTTGGCCCTGAAAAGGGCCTTTGCTCGTGTAGCACTTGAAAGGGGAGCCCCTCACAGCTGTCCAGGACTGTAGTCCCCAGCTGTTCCAGTTTGGTGTTGCCTGGAGAACCTCTGCTTTGCATTGCTGCTGCTCTGGTGGGCAGCACTGGCCTTACGCAAACACAGATTGTCCTTCTCCATGCTTTGAGAGCTTTCATGTCCACTACAATGAACTGTGTCCCAGCGTTGTGCGTCTGGCCTCCTGTGGTGATGCCGAGAAGGTCGGATTTGCGCTGGGTCGCCGACTTTTCCGATAGCGCACGCTTGCATTCGTCCGATCGTGCGACTCGTTGCGCCTGCTCAGCCGTGTAGTATGCGGTGTCGACACGAACCGCGCTCGCAAAGCTCGACAAACTGCCGCTGCTGCATGGAGTCGCGATGTCTCCGGCTGATGTTTCCGGAAGATCCAAGGCATCCGGCGGTGCCGATCGCGGTGGCGTCAATCGCGGTGGCGCACTTGCAGCAGACAGCTTCGGCTTCTTGTTCCACGGTCGCTTCCTCTTCCTTCCGAACGCTTGCCGCGTGCTCGATTTCAACCGAGCGTCGTCCGGCATCTCGAGAACTCGAAGCGAAACAAAACACGCGCGGCTTCGTAGGAAGACGAACCAACAAATTTACCTGGAAAACAAGACCCGCACATTGCATCATTATTGGCGAATCCTCGACCCGCCCCAAGCAACAAACGCACTGAAGCTTGATGCAAGTGTTCAGCAAAACGTAGATGTTTTTGTCTGCCCATTGCCGCGTACTGTCGTATTGCTCATTGTGAGACATTGGTTGGGACGCTCGGCACGACAGGGACGCAAGATGGGCAGCGCTACTCGTATCTACTACTGGTGACGTTAGGGGATAAAACACCTTGCCATCTACAAGGTGTCTAAAAAATAATTTACAGTGTTTCTTTAGTGGCAAAAATGAACTATACATCGCTGAACGCTAATTCTCCGACCAAATGTAGCGTTAGCGGTCCGAACGAGGTGCCAAAGTTTTACAACTAACCGTTATCTCAACCTGAAACTTTAAATAGAAATTTTCTTGGGGGGGGGGTGTTTGTTTGGGCGAACAGAGCTGGAATGACGCAAGCATTGCTTCCCACTCGCAGTCTGCGGGGTGCGTTACAAGACGCGTCCTGGCCTGTCGTATCACTACGCCCACAGCCACATTGCGGGCAGTGGCAACAGCAGCAGCAGCGCCAACAACAGCAGCAGCAACGCGGGGGTGAGCAGCGGCGGGGGCGGGGACCACCACGCGGCGTCGGGGGGCCAGGCCCCCACAGGGGGCCCGCTGCAGGAGGACAGCGGCTCCGGAAGCAGCGCCCCGTCGGGGGACGGGGCCGCTTACGGGGGCCAGAGGGGAGCCCCCTCGGGGGACAGCCCCCTGGCGGGGCTGCGCAAGTTCCAGGACAGCTTCCTCTCCTTCCTCAAGACCCCGCAGGGACAGGGTGAGTGCGCCGGATGACGGAGGCATCCTCGGAGCGCGTCTCCGATTGGTGCGTTTATTGCATCCTCGAAAGTGGTCCCTCGGTTTCCACCTGTTGATGCCATTAAAGTGCCGTGCCGTCAACGACGCGACACTTTACTGCGAGACTGTATGTCCTGGCAGTCTTGCAGCGGCGGTGGTGAATGTCACAGACGCTTTTTCTGCTGCCCGTTGCTCTCTGGCTTGACAGTCTACGGATGTTTCGGCAGCCAGAAGGAGACGAGAACGCGCGGGGACGTCGAAACACCGAGCTCTAGTTGGAATGATCAGTGCGTAGACGCAAAGCTAGCTTCCTTTGTTTGTACTCACTGCTCAAAAGAGAACTCCTGCGTGGTGTTCTGATGTACCCGCGCGCTCTCGTCTCCTCCTCGCCCTCAGTTTGTTGCATAAAAAGAAAGGGCAGCATGATTATAATGCAATTAAATGCAAAGGTGCAAGCGAGCTGGACAAGAATGACGAATCACAGCATGATGATGCGCACAGCTGTCGGAGGCGGGGACCTTTGTACGTCGTTATGCCAAAGGGCGTCATTCTGTAAACATTTGAAGCTGCCCTTTGCGAGTTTTTGTGGCCTCGTGCGAGAGTATGTTTGCGATTTTGGCGCCAACTGCAAGTTGGAGCGATGAGCGAGCATTGGTTCTGCGTCAAACTCGGCGAATCTGGAACAGGGACCTTTGAAATTATTCGGCAGGCTTATGGTGAAAAAGAAGGGAGTCTGGCAAGGTGCTTCGAGCGGCATTCATGCTTCAAGTATGGCAAAACATCTCCAGAAGACGAAGAGAGGTCGGGAAAGACCGCCCTGCCTCTTTCGTTGCCTAGTGCAGAGCAGGCACGATTGGCAATAGGTAGTCCCAATTCAGAAATGTGACTTCTTGACCTTTAGATGCAGTGCCAAGAGACACAGCCGATATTGCCTTTCTCTGTTGCAGGCTGTTTTAAAGTTTGTGGAGGATGAAAAACTGTCCCCTGTGATTTCAAAAACAGCTTCAGATAACTGGCAACAATGTTTCAGAGCACCAAAAATGGCTGAAAGGTCGTTCCTATAAAGCGTAGTTTATTTAGTGCCATTAACCAGCGTTACGAGATCGAAGTCGGTCGACAAGTTTCCCAGAACGCCTGGTTCCTTTTTGTGGCGCGTCCATTCGGTGGGGCTCGCTACGCCATCAGCCCGCCCTACACACAGAAGCGGCAAAATTGGCGGTATGTTGAATGCACATTGCTTGCAGTGAAAAGTGCTTTTTTTTGTGGTTTTTATGGTAGACAAAGTTTTCGCAGAAACTTGCGCATGAAGTGCATCGTTCGACAATGGTCCTTCTATATGTTGTGTGTGGAGGCATTGCCGCCGGTGGCACAATACTTGGGGTCAACCTCTTTTGGCAAGGCAGTCGAAGATATGGGCCTGTGTGCGCCATCTTTCATTTTGAGCACTGAGTATAGCTGCATGCACGCTTTCCTTTCTACTCGAAAATGCTAAGGAAAGTCGTCCCCGGGTATAGGAATGCTATCCGCTTGTACCTGCTCGCGTGCAGGCAACAGAGAAGAACCGTTTTCGAATGACGCTCTTCCGTGGAGCTTGTCAAATGATAGATCCAAAAGTGTTAGCTCTGGCAAAGACAACCCCGCCTGAACGGGCCCCCCACATTCCTTGCAGAGTCTGGTGGCAAGCCTGTGCCTTCCCCCGGGGGCCCCCACATGGGGGGCATGCCGATGGGGCTGCCCCCCGGGGTGGCCCCGCCCCCCGGCATGGGCATGGGGGCGGGGCCGCTGCACCCCATGGCGGCGGCGGGGGGAGGACCCCCCACCGAGGGACCCGGCTCGCGTAGCGCCAGCGGAAAGCCGCTAGCCAATCCGAGCCCCTACTGCGACTTCTGTCTCGGGGACAACGGCGAGAACAAGAAGACACGGCAGCCCGAGGAGCTGGTCTCCTGCTCGGACTGCGGACGGTCCGGTGAGCAGACGACGCTCCGGTCCCGCCCCCGTCCTCAATTTGCTGTAATTTCCGCGCAGTGTCTGACAGGCAGGCCGTGGTTGTCGACGCCTCTACAGTAGACTGCAAACAGTAGACTTGGAAACAGTGGCACGCAATTGACAGAATAGACTTTCAATGATTGGTCAGCCAGTAAATGCAGCAGAAAGGGTCTTTTGCGTGCCGTTTGGTCGCCTGCTTTTCCATGCCGACCAGCTGCTGACGGCCTTGCTTGTAAGCCTCTGGGGTTCATCTTTGTCTGGGTTCCTAGTTTCTGCTGTTTGCTGTTTCACGAGGTTTTGTGTCAGCTCTAGAGTCAGTGGAGATGCCGAACGGCAGTGGGTATCGGCCTTGCGTCTTTGGAGCCGTCGGCGATCACGGCCCGCGTCGCTTAGGCGACAATAGCCTTTCTGTTTGTAGTCGGCACCATTGCCGCAACTCAGTGGGAGATGGAAGGTCTTTTTTTTTCTCAGTGTCGCTAACTGCATGGGGCAGAGTGTCTTTGTTGACGAGCTGTCGCCCGGAGTTTAGAGTCGCTCCGACGCGAACGGCAGCCCTTGACACGCATGCGTCCGTTTCTTCCGTTGATCTAGACTGTGTTCCGTCACTGGGGAGTCTCTTGTCACTGTTGCAGCTTGGCTTCTTGTCGGGTCCCTCGTCCGGTGTCGGGGTGTCGGGAGCACACGGGAACGCAAGCGGGGGGCCCAAGCGTGCTTGGTGCGGTCCCCTCCCCCGCCCCCTCCCCCACTTCCAGCACGTCCCACTCTGTCCCCCTTTCCCGAGAGTGTCTGGATGCTCGGTTGGAGGTGCACTAGGACGGCGGACCACTTTGTTTTTTTGGACCCCGCGAAGGGGGGCGACGAGTAAGGCGGGTTCCCCCTCCCCGGTTCGGGAGTAAACTAAGCTCGGCTGCACTGTAAGCAGACGGTGCATGCGCAAGGACGAGCATTTGCGACTGCGACTCTCTCTCCCAAGGACTGCTCCAGCCCCAGGCCTGCCTGCGCTCCTGTTTTGTTTTTTTTTTCTGCTGCATCGCACACGTGGCATGCTGGTTTCGGTGGAATAAGTTATTTGTTTGTTCGGTTTGATTTGAGGGGGCCTGCCGCACAACTACTGGTGCGCTACTCTTATTGTTTGATAGGTGGCTAGTTTGATTAGTGTTCGCATAGGTGGAATTCCACGCATTTTAGCCCTCTTACTTGCTGAGAATGTTAGGAGCAAAGTGGCTGATAGAAAGTGTAGCACTTGTGATGCTTGAAAGTAGAAGGTAGAATACTCGAAAGTGGAGCATATACTTGGAAGTTTCTAAAGCGTGCTTAAAACACTGACAACTGCATGCAGTTGGTGGATATAGAGGGCAGTAGTGAGTAATTTATGGTCATTTCTAAAGCCGAAGCCATCGGTACAAGCAGCACACGTGGTAGTGTTTATATGCTCACGTAGAAGGTATTTTTCTGTTCTCGGGAGCATAAATCGGTATTATCTAATCTCAAATAGCGTGGATATTAACCCGGTATTTTGATGGCCTAACACTAAACCACACCTTGTTCGATTTAATCTCTACTTTTACAATAGGGAGTTATTTGCTGGGGATTCAGTGCTTCCGAGTGGCTAACTCTCGAACATTTTCTTGACCTTTACCGGTGTTTGCGAGATTTGGTTTGCAACCGTAACATCCACCAGTGAAGGGAGACCAGCTAACCAGTAACAGGTGGTGTACGCAGTCTAGGTTGGGCTCGCTCTGAGTAACTACGATACTCGGCGTCGTCTATTTCGTACTATGTCGTCGAGGCCGGTGCAGCTTCTACGGTGCTTCAGCCCCGCATTCCTGCGAGAACACATGCACACAACTTCACCTTGCATTCGCACACACTCGTGCAAGATAGCTTTGACGCTGCTGAAGCGCTGCAGAAGCTACGCTAACCTTAGCAACATAGCACAAAATAGTTGACGCCAAGTATAGGAGGAAACTCGAAGCGTCGGCACCATTGTGCGTGCTTTCGACGAGGGTGAAAACAATCGAAACTTTGTGATTGCAAGCGTTCAGCGTTTGGAGCAGGCCAGCCTAGGTCGTATGCGGAGCAAAGCTCGGCAGTCCAGGCTGGAGCAGTCGGTTGGGCCGCGCCGCAGTCGCCAGTGGGACCCCCTCCCCCAAAACGTTTATTTTTCTTCTTGCCTGTCGTGCCCGTCTTGACTAAACGTGCGTTTTGACACGACATCTTGCAGCACACCCATCTTGCCTCCAGTTCACGCCCAACATGACGGTGTCGGTGAAGAAATACCGCTGGCAGTGTATCGAGTGCAAGTCGTGCGGACTGTGCGGCACTTCGGATAACGATGTGCGTCTCTCTCTCTCTCTCTTTCTCTCTCCCTCGAGCATGGCTCTGTTGTGGCGCCATTGTGTGGGGCCCCCAGCTCTGCCCTGGCCGCCCTCTCACCCCTCCCCCTCCCCCCTCTCCTTCCCGCAGGATCAGCTGCTGTTCTGCGATGACTGTGACCGGGGATACCACATGTACTGCCTCACACCGCCACTCTCCGAACCTCCTGAAGGTGGGGCTCTTTTGCTTGTCGCCGAGGCACGACGGCTTCAACGGCCAGGCCTCGAAAAAAGGCCACCTTTTTAACCCTTTAGTGCCGGATTTTTTTCGTCCCAGCGTGCAACCTGCGCCAAATTTTTTTATGATGAAACACGTTTGCTTGCTTAAACATGTGTGTATATTTATCAGATTACATTGCTTCACTTTCAAAGAGTTCTTTAGCTTCTGAATCTTCTAGACTTAAAAAACTTTCTTTGTGTGGTATTCTTCGAAACACGGTACCATGCAAAGTGGCACCTCGCATCACTTTTATCAGTATGCCAAGTACACTCAGTTTCACTGTCATCAGATCCTGAATTCATTGGTAGTTCCTGTCCGTCAAGGAGCGCGAAGTTGAAACACGTGGGTTCGCCATTCAAAAGCAGTGTTGTCTCGGAAACACTTGAGGCAGAAGTTGCCTCCACATCTCTCTCCACTGGCATCAAAAAACGAAACCACAACTAAAAATATGCTTCAAAAAATTGTCCAAAAAAAAAAAAAAAGTTTTTGTTAGTTTGAGTGAAGTTGGGGAGCGGCAGGGAATAAATTGAAAGCTTGAAACGAGTATATACGGCCGCGGCAGGGGTTGGGCCGCTGAACAAGCCCAAGTATACTCGGGCGTGGCACTCAAAGGGTTGAGGGGCAATGTTGGTCGAAAAACTGCAATACTTTGCAAACAAATTGTGATTTTGGGGTTTTTTGGTGTTTTATTATTTCTTAACCTTTATATTTGACGTATAAAAATGATTACTGCCGGTTATGATTGCAAAATTAGTTAGGGTCATCACTATTTCGACGTCCACTTTCAAAATAATTTTTAATATTATTTTGACATCTGTGACACCAATTCCTGAAGACATCAAAATATTTAAAAAATATTTTGACGTCCCTCATCAAAATAATTTTGTAATTATTCTGACGTCTCGAACTTGAAACTTTGGAGCTTCCGAGTTCGGATTGGGAAGCGATAGGAAGTGGCGGTCAAAAAAATATCATCTTGCTTGCAGGTAGTGTCGCAGTTCGACACACATTTTCTGAAAACAAATGTCATGCAGTCGGCTGCAGTTTTTATGACCTTTGAAGTAATGTGGAATGCAAAAAAATAAGAAAAAGAGCTTCCCAAAAGTACATCAGCTATTAGGCTGCATGTAATGTTTGCTTTGTTGTGCTCAACATTACAAAATGCGGCACGGCTGCTTTTCCTGATTTATTTTGCGTCTTTATATTGACAAAAGGAGCTGATTCTCGTGTCATTAAATTTTCAGTTGATTGGAAAATGCTTGTATTTCGTACAACCGCACCAGAACTTTTGTTTGTTCACACCAGTCAAGAAACGCCAAGGAGACAATGTTTACATTCAAAGTTTTTTATTTAACATTTCAATTGTTTCGTAGTTAACCCACTCATTAAACACAAATTAAAAAGAACATCTAAACAACAAACTCGCAAAACCTGGTTAAAGACAAGGCGGGAGCCTTGTCTTTAACTAGGTATCCATATCGTACGCACTCGTACGATATGGAGGCAGAAAAAGTGTGCCAAATTTTTTGTTTATACGTAGTGTATGCACTTACATTTGTAACGTGTAACATGCCGAAATGACGTGCGAGAGCTCGGAACATCGCTGCCGGCAGTCACATCTACTAGTATCAACCGTCTAGCCAGTCCCACGCACGTGCTGAATAACATATTTCCACTGCCAACTAAAACCGGAACTTCTCAGGACGCAACACACGATCCGTCAAAACGTCAACACGACACTGACAATACCATCAGAAACTAAACAGAACGAAAAAACACGCCGAAGACACTTAAGACTGTTTACGTTTAGGAATGCGAAAGCATTATAGTTCCACGGGTGAAATGTGTTCGAGTAATGTTTCTACACATAATAAAGTCGTTGTGTGCTTCGTCACGAAGCACACGACGAGGACAGATGAAGTCTGAAGCGCAACAGACGCGCTGGAGGCAGCGGTGACATCACGCTCCCCCACTGCACATTGTATGCTTGACATATTTTTATGGCCATCTTTCAGGGACAACGCCGCCGCCTTTTCGCGTAATGGTACAAGTAAGGCTTTCGCCTTAATAACGAAACCACAAAACAGCTACCACTGCGGCGTCCGATTTTGAAGGGGGTCGCCGAAATTATAAAACCACCATTTCGACATATTACGGAAGTGACGCGTCACAGACGTCGAAATAACTTATTAGATATTATGACTGTTGACTTCGAAATATTCACTGCCATTAGTCATATACGCATTTGAAGACCTCCAGGCAACCAAGAGCGGCAGGAATTTGAGTTTTTTTTCAACCCCGTGCTTCTTCAAGTTGGGACATTGCCCGCCATCACATTTACGTTGACAAGTAGGCCTAGCCATCTCCTCTCCATTGCGGTCTTCTGTAGCTTCAATTTTCATGGAAATTTATTAGCAAAATATTATTTTCTGCACTACGAATGAGTATTGCTACGTATCTGTGGTAACATTCAAACACATTTTTCTTTTTATGTAATTTTGGGACATCTTCACAGTTTGTGCGCAAGAATTTCTGTTTTTAATATTCTCCTATCACAACCAAGTTTGGCACGCATAAACTTTAGAATACCTATGTAGAATGCAACTATCTAGGTTTGGTTAGAATGTTGTTTTTTTGGGGTTTTTTTTTTTATGAAAAATTTAAGAAATGTTTGTTATCCCCTTGAAATGGCATTTTGCTATATTTAATTATTTTAAAATGAAAGAAGTGTCGCATACATTATTTTTGCTGTTCATTGCACTCAAATGGTTTAAAAGGAGCGAATTAGTTTATTTTACTAGACTTTTTGAACTGCGTTGCCACGCCCCATGTGTGCGCAAGAACATGGTTTTTTCTGCATCTACATTGCATCGAGAACCTAAAAAACAAGCTATATAAAATTTAATGCCAGATTTATAAAGAGAAGATTAGGCAGCATAAATTGTAAAAAATTCATTTCAATATCGTAAATAACACAAACATGTTTTCCCCCTGGCGCATGTCCCCTTAACGCAGAATGTGTTTTACGCAGTGTGTCGAACCGAAAAAAATATGGGTTCGGTTACGGTTCAGGTTCAGGTAAATTATTTTTGTTCCGGTTCAGTTCCGGTTCAATTAATTCGATCCGCAAACCGGTTCACGAACCGGTTCGGAAATTATAATTGACAAATCAGCACATACGAAATGGGATACATCGTAGTGTAAGGTTCAGGGATTTCTACCAGGAATGGTTTCTTTATGTGCACTCAAAGGTTACCTCACCGACGTTTACGCATTCGGACTTCATCTAATTGGGTCCGACGCAGTAGCTGTAAAATCCGCGACCTCCTTACAAACCCACTTACAAGTAGAACTCGCTAACTATCCTGCCACCTCGGCGTGTAAGCAATTAAAGGAACAGTGGGGAGAAAATACAGCTTTCTATATTTGAACTAGCCTTCGGTAACTCAAATTAGACCCTTAAAGAAGTTTTCATTAAACAAGATACGGAATATGAAAAACACTTCACCGAACGCAACGCCAGAAGGACAAGGATCGATAACTGGGCGAGTTGGTGAGAGTTCATGTTGAAAAACAGCGCGATTGGGACGAGGTCACACAGGGATGAAGAGAACACAAGACAAAGCGCTGACTAGCAACTGGTTTGTTATTACACCATAAGGAAGGATGACAATGAAATGATAAACATGGAATCAAATGTTCGCGCGCTTGCTTGGCGCCCTTTCTTCTTTTTTCTTTTTCATCCGATTGTTGACTTATGTTCTTCTTTTTTCCTCCGGAGCTTGGGTTACCCTGAATCCAAAAACCTCATTTCGCTGGGAGTCATAGTCACCGAAGGTTGGCTCACACACGAACTGTTGCTCTTCATGATGTTGTAGGCTTCTACCATCTCTCGACTTGTTTGGTCGTGGTGTTGAAATAATATGGTGGTGTTTTCGAACTGTGGTACGCAACCGCAATCTCTGCGATGCACCGCTAGATGTGAATTAGCGGTGCCTTTCAAGGAGCTGTGGTGCTCTCTTAGTCGGATGTTTAAGCACCGGCCAGTTTGCCCGATATAACAGCGCCCACAGGAGAAGGGAATGCGGTAAACCACGCCTTTGACGCACGACACGAACTTTATCCCATGGTTTACCTTACATGTGTTATTTTCCGATCTTGCTATCCCCTCCCTGCGTGCACGTACAGCGGAACATAATCTACTTAGTTTGTTTTTGGCTGAAAAAACAACGTCCACCTCGTATCTGGACGCGACTTTTTTAAGTCCGTGTGAAATGCGGTGAAGATAAGGAATGACCGAAACTTTCTTTTTTTCTTTTTTAACTGGTTCCTCCAGCATAAAATTGGAACTATGCTTTACGAGTTTTATTAAACTATCGCATGCTGATGAAATAATTGAGTCTGGGTATCCCGAATCCCTAATCCTTTGAATCTGGGAAGTGAAGCTAACGCTCATTGTGTGAACACATGATTTTGTTAAAGCGGATTTCAAACAGGAATACACTATTCCTCTTTTTACGAGCTTCGAATGCGCTGATTGGTAGTTTAGCAAACTCTTTGATGTTCTAGGATGATACAACCAGCAAATGTGTTCTATTGTGAATTCAACGAGGAGATCTAAAAACTGAATTCGACTCTGTTTTGGGGTCTCATAAGTAAACCTAAGGCCTTGGCCAAGCTCATGGAATACTTTAAGGACGTAATGTAGTGTTTTTTCGCAACCGGAGGCTTCAACAAATACCAAAAAATCATCAACATATCTAAAGATCTTAATGGTGTGATTTTCCAATTTTTGAACTAGAGCTCTACCTATTTTCCCGAGGAAAATATCGCTTAGTACAGGCGCTACTCTTGACCCTATACAAACACCTGACTTTTGAACGAACACTTTTTCCTCCCACCCTATAAAAGTAGGGTGGGAGGAAAACTGTTATTCCGCAATGCGGAATAACAGTTGAACATTTCCTTGAACTATTATCTGTGTATTTAAAATCTACTTTTATAGGGTGGGAGGAAAAAGTGTTCGTTCAAAAGTCAGGTGTTTGTATAGGGTCAAGAGTAGCGCCTGTACTAAGCGATATTTTCCTCGGGAAAATAGGTAGAGCTCTAGTTCAAAAATTGGAAAATCACACCATTAAGATCTTTAGATATGTTGATGATTTTTTGGTATTTGTTGAAGCCTCCGGTTGCGAAAAAACACTACATTACGTCCTTAAAGTATTCCATGAGCTTGGCCAAGGCCTTAGGTTTACTTATGAGACCCCAAAACAGAGTCGAATTCAGTTTTTAGATCTCCTCGTTGAATTCACAATAGAACACATTTGCTGGTTGTATCATCCTAGAACATCAAAGAGTTTGCTAAACTACCAATCAGCGCATTCGAAGCTCGTAAAAAGAGGAATAGTGTATTCCTGTTTGAAATCCGCTTTAACAAAATCATGTGTTCACACAATGAGCGTTAGCTTCACTTCCCAGATTCAAAGGATTAGGGATTCGGGATACCCAGACTCAATTATTTCATCAGCATGCGATAGTTTAATAAAACTCGTAAAGCATAGTTCCAATTTTATGCTGGAGGAACCAGTTAAAAAAGAAAAAAAGAAAGTTTCGGTCATTCCTTATCTTCACCGCATTTCACACGGACTTAAAAAAGTCGCGTCCAGATACGAGGTGGACGTTGTTTTTTCAGCCAAAAACAAACTAAGTAGATTATGTTCCGCTGTACGTGCACGCAGGGAGGGGATAGCAAGATCGGAAAATAACACATGTAAGGTAAACCATGGGATAAAGTTCGTGTCGTGCGTCAAAGGCGTGGTTTACCGCATTCCCTTCTCCTGTGGGCGCTGTTATATCGGGCAAACTGGCCGGTGCTTAAACATCCGACTAAGAGAGCACCACAGCTCCTTGAAAGGCACCGCTAATTCACATCTAGCGGTGCATCGCAGAGATTGCGGTTGCGTACCACAGTTCGAAAACACCACCATATTATTTCAACACCACGACCAAACAAGTCGAGAGATGGTAGAAGCCTACAACATCATGAAGAGCAACAGTTCGTGTGTGAGCCAACCTTCGGTGACTATGACTCCCAGCGAAATGAGGTTTTTGGATTCAGGGTAACCCAAGCTCCGGAGGAAAAAAGAAGAACATAAGTCAACAATCGGATGAAAAAGAAAAAAGAAGAAAGGGCGCCAAGCAAGCGCGCGAACATTTGATTCCATGTTTATCATTTCATTGTCATCCTTCCTTATGGTGTAATAACAAACCAGTTGCTAGTCAGCGCTTTGTCTTGTGTTCTCTTCATCCCTGTGTGACCTCGTCCCAATCGCGCTGTTTTTCAACATGCCAGAAGGACGTAATAGGATAAATATTAAAATAGGAGAGTTCGCTGTCCGTGCAAGCCGCGTCCAGCGCAATACTGGTTCCTATGTCAAGATTCATAGATGCAGCGTTTGTCAAGATTCATGGATGCAGCGTTTATATTCCTAAGACTGAGTGGAGAAGAAAAATATGTAAGCGAGGTGTGTGTCAGTTGACGGCACTTAAAAAACAAATGGCATTAATAGCACATTCATTGTCAACAGCGCGTGGCCGAACCGTTTTGACATGAGCCGGTAACCGTTTTTTTTTTTTTCCGGTTCAGTTCCGGTTCAGGTTCATCGCAATAACAATATAACGGTTCGGGTTCGGGTTCAGTTCCGGAAAAAATACCGGTTCGGTTCCGGTTTTCGGTTCGGTTCCGGTTCGACACCCTGGTTTTACGAGTCGTTTTCTACGAGGAAATCGTCAGGACAAGTGTCAGGAATGAGCCTCTTGAACGAGTGGCACGCTGAGAGCGTTACACGGCATTGTGGTTGTATGCAAAGTTTACGTATAAAGCTCGAACCTGGGTCGCTGCGGTGCCAGTCAAACACTGTAGCCACTAAGCTGCATAGCACAGCTCGTCTGGAAGGATTCCGCTCCCGACAAAACATGCCGGCGAGATTGGTGTGACGTACCGTGTGACCGCTCGCCTCATTGACGTCGCGCATCGCGCAAGAATTATATAAGGCACTGCCTGTGCAGCGCGCTCGTTTGCCTGGTCTCGCTCTGGCTAACATCTGGGGTGCACAATGAAAGAACTAGCACAAACCCCACACAAGGCGTGTGGTTTGTGTTAGCGTCCCGCACACTTGTGCTGCGTGCGGGACAGACTTTGTCCTCCCCGGTCTTTGTTGACGTGATCGAGTGAATTAAAATTTTTTATTCCTCGCTCTATAGTGATTGATTTATTCACAGTATTTTTGACTTTGGGCGATGGGTGAACATGTCATGTAATGAGGTTTGGATATGGAGCGCGAGTGTTACGGGAGTTAATTGAAGCGGTTACTCAAGGACCCGTGCCTGTGCCAATATTAGAGCGCAGCTCTTAGGGGCCCGTTCCCGGCTTGAGCGGCGTCGCCGTCGGCGTCGCCGTCGCCGTCGCCGTCGCCGTCGCCGTCGGCGTCGGCGTAACCGCAACCCTCGTAACCCTCGTGAGGGTTACGAGGGTTAATCTCATGAGGGTTACCCTGACGAGGATCACGAGGGCCACGAGGGTTACTTACCCTCGTAACCCTCACGAGGGTTACGAGGGTTAGTTACCCTCAAAAGGGTTACCTTCACGAGGGTTACCCTCACGAGGGTTACTTACCCTTGTAACCCTCACGAGGGTTACGAGGGTTAGTAACCCTCGTGAGGGTAACCCTCGTGAAGGTAACCCTTTTGAGGGTTACGAGGGTTAGTAACCCTCGTGAGGGTAACCTTCACGAGGGTTACCCTCACGAGGGTCACGAGGGTTATGAGAGTTACCCTCACGAGGGTTACTCACCCTCGTAACCCTCGTGAGGGTTACGAGGGTTAGTTACCCTCACGAGGGTCACGAGGGTTATGAGAGTTACCCTTACGAGGGTCACGAGAGTTACCCTCACGAGGGTCCCGAGACTTGCCCTCACAAGGGTTACTAGGGTTACCCTCACGAGGGTCACGATGGTTACCCAGGTCGTGACCCCCCCTGGGGTCACGTGACCTGGGGATACCCCCCGAGGTCACGTGACCCCCCGTTGACGTCATAGGCACTGATGACGTCGTCAGTGACGTCACTGATGACGTCACCGGCATCCGCATCGTCATCGTCATCATCACTGATGACGTCATTAGTGACGTCACTGATGACGTCACCGGCATCCGCATCGTCATCATCATCACTGATGGCGTCATCAGTGACGCTACTGATGACGTCATCGGTATCGTCACGTGGCCCCAGGTCACGTGACCCCCCGACGTCACGTGACGCCCCAAGGTCACGTGACTCCCACAAGGTCACGTGACCCACAAGGTCACGTGACCCCCAAGGTCACGTGACCCCCCGCCCCCCGAGGTCACTTGACCCACCCCCCAGTACCCTTCCCTCCTCCTCCTCAAGAGCTGCGCTCTAATTCGGCGTTACAGGGAGTTGTAAACGGCTTTTTTTAAATCTGAATTCAAATATCGGCGTATTCAATTCGATCTTCGAGTTGTGTGGTGGCACGACTAGTGGCGAATAAACATTTGAAGACGTCCTTGAATCGCCTTAAATATAGTTGCTGACAATTTAAGTAATGCTGGGCTTAGTGAGCCCAATACACCCTATTGTCCCTCCGCAGCCAATAAGGCTCCGGCGTTAGCCGACATGAACGCTAAAGAACAAACTTGAAGGATTGACGTAATGAGCTACACCATACATTTCTCGTGTTGTCGGTTATTGCACCATCTTCAAGGTTTAGGACAGGCTTTTTTTTAGTTCTGTGGAGCGCGTTTTTCTCGTTGTGCCAGTGCAGACGAGCTCGAGCGAGGCGGGCGTCGAAACCTTTGTCGTCTGCTCGCAGGGCTCTGGAGCTGTCACCTCTGCATCGAAGAATATGGAAATGTGGAGCAGCGTGGAGCGGGACCATCACCATAGCCGCCTCACCAGAGCCCTTGGGTGAGTGTTCGTGTTTTTGTGACTTTCACTCGCTCGTCCCACTCACTAACTCGCACAGATGTCGAGTAGAGTGTGTCTGCGACGCTGGCTGAACTTCCTGTTTGTGACTCGATTCACTAATCTTCACCTGTTACAATATTGTTGGATTAGAAAGGCTAATATAAGAGGAACCATGCTTGACAGTTAAATAGGAGAATGCTGTCGCCCCCAAGAATAGGTTCGTAATTTATTTTCTGTGCGCAACACTACTAGATTATATTCTCAAAACACCTCCAAAAATTTATTTTCCCTGCAGATTCGCATATTTATCGGATAAACAGTGTGTCGATTCAAACCGAAACAATGGGCTCAGCATGGGAGACGCTGCAAAAAATGGATAACGTTGGATCGTTTGATTTGGTCTTCTACAGCAACATTTGACCTCCGAGGCCCGGAATATTGACGCATGCTCGTCTGAAAGCGGAATTCTAGCTTTCCAGGTTGTCCCGAGTCAAGGTGTATATTTTTATATGTGCCGCAAGCCATAAAATATTGCAGAAGAGTAGAAATTACGAGCAAACTAATGTCTCGTTAAAGGGCAACTCCCGATCAGTATTTCTTAATTTGGGATTATGGCTGTTTTCAGCCAAGGCAGTGTGCCTGAATTACTAGGTCTATTTTATTTTTACTGACATTGTTCGTAGTTTTATAAATATCACGGGGGGGGGCTCAAAGTTTGGTTTCGGGCATTTACGGCTATCCGAAACTATCTGGCTAGAAGGACGGCAACACTGATCATCAGCCGTACGGCCGTGACGTGACGTCACCGTGGTGCTGCGGTACATGGTACAACCGATCAACCGCAGCTGCACCGCGACGTGACGTCACGGGGGTGCTGCACCAGTGTTGCTCGACTAAAAGCTAACCGGGCGGTTGCATTTTTAAAATCGGTTTTAGTAGAGTATGTGGCTTCATTTTGACGTAATATTTTGGCTGTGATCATATTTCATGCCACTAAAGCAGTACCAGTCATTCATTTTGGTTTCGTTTTTAGAGTGCTCTAGATATTATTGGCTAGAGCACTCTAGCTTACAGAAGTGATAGTACTAAGTATAGGACTCACTTGGATGTTTTTTTATTTCTTTTAATTGCTAGTATAATTTTATATAGCTGCAAATATTTCAACTTTTTGCTCTGATTTCTTCAGAAATTCGTAGTTCAACAATTCAGCCATAGCTTATTGGCTCCATTTTGATGTGTCATGATAAACAATATAATAATTAATTCTTCAAAAAAAAAATGCTTTGCTCATTGCTTAAAAAGTGCCACCTTTCGCCATGCTAAGAAAAGAGTGAAGAGGCTAACGGTGCAGCTACGACTTAACGTTTTCCATTAATTCTGCCAGATCCAGTTCGTCACATGGCACAGTAGCTTCAAAACGTGTTCGTCTCTTTTATGATGCTTGCCGTCTTTTTCAGGAACACCGTGGACGGGAAGCCCAGACACATCGATGTCCGCTGTGATTGGAGGGTGGAATTTCAGCAAGTGTGTTATCCCCAGTCTTAGACTCTACCTTTGAAAACTCATTTTTTTGTGGCCGTGCTGGACAAGCACTGGAGAGACATCAAAGTCATCACGGAACCTGCATTGTGATTGAATAAAGTGATCATTATCAGCGACAGGGCCGATGCTTATACTCTTCTTTTGGGCTAGGGCTGTAATTTGGTCTTTGCAAACTTTGTAGTCCTACAAATGTTTTAAATGCTTTAAACAAGGGGTCTCCAAACTTTTGGCTGAGGGGCCGGAATATGAATGTGGAAATGCAAAGTAGAAAAAAAATTGTGGTGGCTTAGCTCGGCTGTTATGCGCACAAAATGAGAGGCGCTATCAAGCGGCTCCGGTGCAGCGTCAGACTTGGCTACTGCGCAACGGAGGCGCACAGCTGGGCACGCGGCGGCGCCAGTGCGCCTGCCGCGGCTATGACGTCACTCTACTGGAATGCGCAGACCGACAAGGCGGGCGCGGCGGCGGTGGAGCGCTCCGCATAATGAGCACGGCTCATTATGAGGGCCACGCAAAACTGCTCAACCTTGGCCAGTGTAGCTAACGCTACAAAAGAAACAAATAGTTATCGTCTTTTCTGCTATCTTGGTGTGCGCGTCGTGCCGCGCCGCTAGCAGCGGGCCTGCTGGAAGGTGGCCGTGGGCCAAGCTTTGGAGTCCCCTAGTTTAAACTTTGGTGGCGAGAAATGCGAGGGAATGGAGAGAAAAAATAAAACGGCAATGTTTATTTGCGTTGAGAGCCTCGCGCATAGCGCACTTCGGCTTTTGTGTTGGTGTATATCCAGCGTGGGCGAAAATGATTGAACTCACTTTAAACTGACCGCATAAATAGGTTTCTTAACCTATCGCGCTGGGATTTACTACTGAGATGTCTAAGTTGGTTGAGGCTTTCGGTAAAATTGTGGAAAGATTGTATCACCCGAGTAAGTAAAAAAATAAAAAAAACTGTTTTCATTATACTTTGCAGGTGCACCAAAAATAAGTTTTGTTGTGGCGCTTGTTTCAGCAAAATGAAGTGAAGAATAGGTAAGTCAATAATATTTTCTTTCCACTTGACAAATTTTTTAATCGTAGTAAACGCCAGATTAGCCCACACCGATGGTCTTATGATTTTGAGGTAAAAGGCTTCGCGATAAATTTTCCATAGACAAACCCAGTTTCTATTTTCTTTCATTTGATTCCAGAGATTTCATGCATCCATACTCCTAATTATTGAATACACCAGCTTCGAGCACGCCTCTAGTAAATCCCAACGCGAAGTTAAGAAACCAATTTATGCAGTCAAGTCTGAAGTGCTTTCAATCAATTTCGCCCAGTCTGTATATGTCTGAGATTTGCTTTTTCATTATTTTACGTGATGACGGGTTAACGAAATACGCGGCTTGGGATGAGTCCAACGTGCATTATTCGAGTACACACCCTGCTGCCTAACAATCCGTTTTTTTTTTTTTCTCCTTGTGCCCTTGTGTTTAGGATTAGTTTCGTTTGAGACCTCAAAAAAGCTCAAGGCCTGACCTTGGCGAGGCTGGAGGCGAACATGACCGCTTGCCCCAGAAGCAAAGAGCGGCTGATGTAGGGTGCCTTCATGTGCGCTTCGCATGAAGCGCACATGAAGGCTCCCTAGGCTGATGTAGTCTCTGCGACCTCATAACCCCCCCCCCCCCCCCCCCCCCCCCCACACACACACACACCCTACATTCTTTCTCGAACGGACCTGCGCCCGGCGTCCGGCATCCGCGTGCGTGCGTATGTGCGTCTGCGTTTGTGAGTGTGTACGTGTGTTCCCGGCGCCTGCTTCAGAGCATACATCTAAGTGGCAGCGCGAGCTCCCGCTACAAATCGTGTGGCCTGGAAACACGATCTACTAAAGCGTTTGACCACATTTACGACATTAAAAGTGTAGATATATAGTCAGTCAGTACACCTTTATTGGTAGAGACATAGCAAAAAAAAAAAAAAGAATTCAAAGGGAGAGTAGTAACCAAGAAATGTATTGGGTTGAATCCCTGCCATCCTGCATTGACGAGGTCCCGTTTATGACAGGGTGCATAACTATTGCACTGAGAGCGCTTCTGGTCAAGAGATCCACGAGTCAAAAGATCCAACGAGTCAAAAGGTCCCATAATGGATCTTATGACTCGTTGGATCTTTAGACTCGCCAGACACGAGTCAAAAGATCCAATGTGGGTCAAAAGGTCCAACGAGTCGAGAGATCCAACGAGTCAAAAGATCCACGGCGAGTCAAGAGGTCCAACGAGTCAAAAGGTCCAACGAGTCAGAAGGTCCAATAATGGATCGTTTGACCCGGCAGACGCGAGTCAAGAGATCGCATGCGGGTCAAAAGGTCCAATTACTCGAAAACTGCTGCGTCATATGGCAAGGAGGTTAGGAAAGGCCCCTCACCTCTCCTGCCCTAGACGCGGCCCTCGGGGAGGCATTGTACTATAAAATTCAGAAAACAATTTTGACTAAAACCCGTTTTCACCTCAAGTAAAAAAAAAAAAGTCTGGCTTCTCGCGGAACACTGCTGACTTCCGCATTCATGTAGGGAATTAAGATATACGTGAGTGAATTGTAGGTTACATATATGTTATCTTATTAAGACGTTCACGTTCCAAACGTCAAAAGCATCGCTTTTTCCCTCCGACAACCAAATCTCGTAAAAACTACTTCGCGCCGCGTATGAATAATGCGGAAAGCTTGCTTTTCTTGGAGTGAAAATGGGTATAGGTGCCTTAATTTTTGTTACCAAAAAAAAGTTAAAGGCATTTAAATTTGACGCGCCGTTTAACTCCTCACTATTTCCCGGTTTGCGGACGGGAGACGTTCCCGAGCCAGGGGGCAGAGGTTGTGGTAGGTTGTGTTTTTGTTTGCTAACTAGTTCGTACAAGAAGGCCGATACAGAGTGCGTGTATATTTTTTAATGAAAAATGATTTGGTCGATTTTTTCTGTTCGTTACAAAAAAAGGCCCCACCACGATCATAAAAGATCACGCCCTTCGCACTTTTTTGAAACGCGATTGTGTCGCGTTCACGCTCGCTAGAAATATGTGCTAAGGAGCACCTTGTAGGTGATGTATGACTTGCTCGAAATGGGTTTCTCTTGTGCGAAAAGCTAGTTAAATGAGCGAAGCAAAAAAAGAAAAAAAAAAGGAAGCAAAAATGACGGTCGTGCGTGTTTGAGGTCTGAATCTATTCTTTCAGACACTTCATTTGACAGACATGTTCGTCGCTGTTAAGGTTTCATTGTACAACCAACTACGAGATTCCCTGCTTGGAATTTTATCATTACACAAGAAAAATGACAGAAATAAACTGAAGATGATGAACCGTACGCAGTCAACGCAAATCTCAGTGGTGCTTGTGGATATTGAGGCATCGCGATGCTTGTCAGCCATCCAAAGGGCGACATATTTCTAAACCGCAAATGAGCAATTTAGCCGGGGCCGTACGACGTTGTACTCTGTTTCACCTTGAAGGCTGGTTCACACTGTTGCGACCGACTACGACCAAGTCTGACGAAACAAGTTTTGAAGCCCCCCCCCCCCCCCCCCCCCCCCCCCCCCCCCCCCCACACTTACGACCACACCGCGCAGCAGCAATGGCGGCCGTAAGCGGCCTAAAACTTCGTTGCCATAGCAACCCGTAAAAGAGATTAACGACGCGAACCGTTGCAGGCGCACACGGTCGGACTCGACTCATGCATGTGAGTGAACCAGACAACGCATCCGATCCTTCGCCGACAGTGTGTCACGTGACCTTCCGGTTCGGCGCGGCGTCGCGCGGAGCGAGATGTCCCATGACGCTCTCGACTTCTAGCATAGGCTGCGGTCAATCCTTCGTTGAAACGGAGTATAGCCTTGGGTCTTTATGCGCACCGCGCAGTAGTGGTTACTAGGGAGCCTTCATGTGCGCACATGAAGGCACCCTAGAGGTTACCATGAACGCACGCCGATGATGGTTCTCCGTACAGCGTGGTATGGTACCCTAAGCGTGGTGCCAGTTAGCAGTCAAGCTGCACTGGCCCTTTTGGCAATATACTGTGACCCTCTGGATGGCTGTCAAACATTATGCTGTCCAAATATAAAGCCACAAATGTTCTGCTTGTTCCGCTCATGCTGCGTATACACGTCTTGTAATTAAGTCACCGACCAACTGTTCGTTGTTTTCTAAATTCAAGAAACAACCTGCGTCCCCGCGACCTTACAGCAGGCGCAACTCTCTGGAAATTTCTCCGATAATCAAGCATTGCCGACGAAGAAATGGCTTGGTTACTAGCCCTGCTGGAAATGGGCGAAGTGAAATGAGGCCAAAATTCACATTGAACCAATGTGCAACTGTAGGTCCAGACACACTGAGCAATATGCATTTATGAAACAAAAACCTATGTGCACCAATTGGTAATCCTTTAGGGAATTCACATTGGGCTGATTGCATTTATGAAACAAAAACCAATGAGCAGCAATTGGCAACAGGTACCCCGGTGCACATTGCATTGAGGGCATTTATGGGGCAAAAACCTATGTGCACCAATTGGTAATCCTTTAGGGAATTCACATTGGGCTGATTGCATTTATGAAACAAAAACCAATGAGCAGCAATTGGCAACAGGTACCCCGGTGCACATTGCATTGAGGGCATTTATGGGGCAAAAACCTATGTGCACCAATTGGTAATCCTTTAGGGAATTCACATTGGGCTGATTGCATTTATGAAACAAAAAACAATGAGCAGCAATTGGCAACAGGTACCTCGGTGCACATTGCATTGAGGGCATTTATGGGGCAAAAACCAATGAGCAGCGATTGGCAACAGGTGCTCCTGCGCACATTGGGTTGATGGTATTTATGGGGAAAAACCTAATGAGCAGCTATTGGCAACAGGCCCCCCTGTGCACATAGGATTGATTGTATTTACGGGGCGAAAACCAATAAGCGGCGATTGACGACAGACACCCCTGTGCACATTGGGTTGATGGCGTTTAGGGGGCGAAAACCAATGAGCAATAATTGGCAACAGGTGCCCCGGTGCACATTGGTTTCATGGTACTCAGTCAACCAGCAACCGTCTATTAAACATCTGAGAGATGTGTTGTCCGGACATTTAACATATTCAGTAGAT